CAGTCTGTTTGATCTGGTGCTTATTGGCCTTGACATCCACAATGAACACAAGTGTGTTGTTGTCTTCTATTTTCTTCATGGCTGACTCAGTAGTCAGGGGGAACTTGATGATGGCATAGTGATCAAGCTTGTTTCTCCTGAGGGCACTCTTTCAAAGATATTTGGGCTGCCTTCGGAGATGCAGAGTCTTGGGTCGTTGGAATGTAGGTGACATATGGATCTTCTTTTTTTGTGACTGTGCACGCCTCTCAGCACCGCTTTCTTAGCTTTCAAAGTCTTTGCTTTGGCTTCGGCTTTGGGAGGGGCAGGGGCTTCCTTCTTCGCCTTCGGCGCCATCTTCCAGACGTATACCTTTCTGATTGCAATTGCAGTATCTGCAAGAAGCAGCAGAACAGATACTTCATTGCTCAGGCTTCTCTCACCAAGCTCCTGAAGGGAGCTAAGGGCATAACCACATATACACTCAAAGCACAACAAAGCCTAGCACACTGGCCCATGCCAAATGAACAAGCCTTTTAGAATCTCTAAAAGTAAGAAAGAGTGTTTTACTTGAGCCCAACTTAGGCCAGCTGCCAGGGAAACACACTGTTCACAGATTAGAAAATATTCTGGAGAATGAACAGTTTTTACAGCGTTATATACTTTTTTACATCTTGTAGGAGCTCAGAAGATCATAGATTAGCATACAGGCAGGAATGAGTTTTATAGCAAAGGAATGCCAGTGGTAGGAACATTGACAGCTCAAAGATAAGTTGATTTTCCTTCAGGCTACTCATTTACAAAGCGATGTACAATGCATGTGTGGTGGGCCATAAATTAGGCTTTGGGTTTGAACCACATTTAGGTACTCATGCTAACTTAGAAAGAAATTTAAAATGGCTTCCCTTGTGTATGAGGTCTTTCGAGACTTTTTTTCTCATCACACTTCTGTGAGAGCTGTGGCATTCAGAGCTTTTACACATCCTGCTCACACCCTGGAGGCTTTGGAATTGCCACATGCTGCCCGCCTGAAGGAGAGTGGTGTGTGGAGCATGGCCACTGAGGAATTCAATGCCATGGATTGGGAGAGGGCCAGGAAGGAGCACAAATGCATCAAGGCCATGTCTGAAGAGGGAGCTCATGCTTCTCCTTTCCTAAAAAGTTGTAATGACCGGGGCCAGCAGCTTTGCTGCCCTCACTACACCCCAGTGGTGCTTGTGAATGTGGCTCGTGAATGTGCACCCAGGCAGCTGACTCCACTGGCCAGTGGCCATTGTGATCTCTGTGGTTTGTTCCAGCTACTCATTTCTTTAGGCAGCTCTTTGTCCTCAGATTTGGACATGGGCTAGTTGACATCCATCTTTCTCTTCCCAACTTTTGTGTGACCTAAAATACTTAGTTAAAAATAAATACTTTTAACAGTGAAGCAATTGCTGTGGCTTAACAACAAAAAGATAAAATGAGACCCTCAAATTAATTTGATACCTGTGACAAGCCACTTTGGGGTGTCTGCTCATTTTCCTCTTGCTTGGGTGTTCCTCAGTGAGAAAATCTGAGCTGCCCTAGGAAATCAAAACATGAAGGACAGCGATGCTATCCTCTTGGAATTGTTGAACCAGCAAGATGGTGATTTTTTTAAAATGTGCTGTTGGTTGTTAACTTTGGAGTATATCAAACAGAAGACATCTTTGTGAGACTCTAACTCTGCTGAATCAGGGTTTTAGTGAATGACTAATATAACAAATTGGAAGCCTGATGAATAAGGTACCTGTGGCTAGTTGGGATTCCTCCCTCCAAATCCTAAAAGGGTTTCTGAACAAGCCCCAAGCAGCGCAGATGTATTTTCCTTCTTCTGATCTCAGACTCTTTCTCGGTTAAAGGATTGATTCCCCTGATATTTTAGAACCTAGCCTCTCCTATCTCCTGAGTGGCCTCAGATACTCCTTTCCTGAATCTCCATCCTCTCCACTGCCATTTTCCCTTTAGCAACATATTCAAATCTCTTTCACCCTGAAGCTGTAGGCCCTACTCCCTCTAGTAGTCCTATGTTCTACAGTAGAGATGGCCTTTCATTGTTCATTTTTATAACCAAGATTCTGGAAAGAAATTATACAGCTTGTGTCCCCTTCTTCCCTTTCCACCATACTGCACGCAAGCTGCCCCTATTAAACACAAAAGACTCCTGGTTATCCTAAATTCCATAGATCCTCTTCAGAGAGAGAGAGTATAAGGTAATGGTAACCAGCACAGACTCAGGAAGCCAGACTGCCAGGGTTTACATCCCCATTCTGCCATGTACCAGCAGCATGATTTTGCACAAAACACTGAACTTCCTTATACTTCCATTTCCGTCATCCCTAGGATGGGGTTGTTGTGAGGATTAAACAGCAAAGGGTTCTTGGATGATTGAGTTAGTAGGTATAAGGAGCTTTATAACATGCCTAGAATATAGGAATTCCCAACGGATCTCTATAACATATGACATTGCTGTTGTCAACGTTTTATTTTTTTATTATTATTTTTACATATTTTATTTATTTGACAGAGAACACAAGCAGGGGAAGCAGTAGGCAGACAGAAAGGGAGAAGCAGGCTCCACACTGAGTAAAGAGCCCGATATACTGGGATCATGACCCTAGCTGAAAGCAGACATATAACTGACTGAGCCACCCAGGAGCCCCTGTTGTCAAACTTTTAATTGAAACTCTCCTCCCTTGGTTGTCCTGACCCATTTTTGTTTGTTCATTTTCCTCATAATTTGCTGGCTACTCCTTATTCTTTATCCTTTTCTCCCAGCTTCCTGTTTTGCCTCTGTCTGTATTTTAAAGTAAAATCATCTTTCTAAATAACTAAATAATAAAAATAAAACCATTATTTCTAAAGATTTTAAGCTTGAAAATAATTAAGCTTATCTCATGAATAGCTTCCATTTCCTACAAGATAAATCCATTAATTGAAATCACATTCAAGTATCTCTTTTTTCCCATCTTTCATTCCAGTCTCATCTCATTGCTTCTGTTCTTTTAAGCTCCACCTCATATTTCATCCCTCCTCCCCACTCCGAGTTTTTTCTGAACTTTTCTCAAATTCTTATGTACTTAAAAAAAAAAATCTTAGGTACTCCTTCTCTATGCTCCCAGAATATATTATGGAACTTCTACCTCTGTCATACCACTTATGGCCCCTGTTGTCTCCATGCTAGGATGTGAGCCATTAGAGGAATGGGACTGAGTCTCACTCATCTTTAAATTCCTAAGATCTGGGATCCAGGGGTGGCTCAGCAGTTTGGTGCCTTCCTTTGGCTCAGGGCATGATCCTGGAGTCCCGGGGTTAAATGGAGCCTGCTTCTCCCTCTGCCTGTGTCTCTACCCCCCTCTCTCTCTCTGTGTGTGTGTGTCTTTCATGAATAAATAAATAAAATCTTTAAAAAAAATAAAAAAATAAATCCCTAAAATCCAATATAGTCACATGAATTGGCAGTGCTTGAGAAACACCTGTTGAGTGAATGAAACAATAAATAGGATGAGCACTTTGATTGGGCCAATGTCTCTTGAAAGAAAAGGCTGAAGAGTTCAACATGTACTGAATCCTTCCTACATGGAGTGCAGGGATCAGAACCATTTGCTTGATTTTTACTACAGTACTTTCCCAGAATACACTCACCACTATCCAGGTAGCCATACAAACAGAGCGGGTGCAAGCACAGGCTCTGGTATCAAACTGTTCATCTTTCAGCTTCACCAGTGACTAAATGTGTGATCTTGGGCAAGTCACTTAATCTCTGCGTGCACCAGTTCCCTTCTAAGATAAAAATAATAATACATATCAGAATTTGTGTTACAAGCTAATGAGATAACACATATAAAGTGTTTAGAACAGTGTCTGGAACACACCACATATATCAATTTAAAAGTTGTTATTTCAAATATTAAGACGACTCTGGATAGATAGAATATTTTGGCCTTAGTTCTCATTAAAAACAAAGGGGCGCCTGGATGACTCCTAGGTTAAGAGACCCACTCTTGATTTCAGCTCAGGTCATGATCTCAGGGTCCTGAGATCAAGCCCTGTGTTGGGCTCCCCTGTCAGTGCGGAGTTTGCTCAAGAGTCTGTCCCTCTGTCTCTTCCCCTACTTGTACGCTCTCTAAATAAATCTTTAAAAATATATATGAAATTAAAATGAACTGCAGCTCCTCTGGAGAATTCCAGGATCAGAAACATGACTGGCTACTCCTGAAGGCGTGACTGGTAAAACACTGATGTTTTCACCGCTCCCTATCCCCAGTACTGAGCTCACAATCCAGGTCCCTGGCTACCTCACCCAGCCTTTCCTCCTTTATTTTCTTAGTATTTATCCTCCCTCTTTGCTGCCTGAGGGCCTTTTAAAAACTTTTGTTCCCTGAACAATCGAACAGGGAAAGCAGACCTTCACAGATTTCTCACTGTGCAGGCAATCTTATTTCTGCTCCAACCCAAACAAAAGTGATTGGTCTTCGTTGACTGCAGCCCAGCAGCAGGACCGGGGACCCCCGTGATCCCGGGCGGTCCCATCCTCCGCGCGGCTGCTACCAGCACCCCCGGTGAAGTACTTCCTCCGTTTCGCCAGCCACATCTCGGGTGGCTGAGCGCTTCCGCCGCGCTCCGGGAGCCTCCATCTCTCCCGGATCCTTCCGGGTGTTCTCAGGGTGGCCCTCGGCTCCGTGACGCTACTTCTGGCTCGAGTCCTCTTTTAATTGCTTTTCAGGAAAGAGCACAGAAGGCAGACACTGTAACAGAAACAACGTTGTTTCTCTTCAAAGTGGCAAGGGAGCCCGCCCTCAAACCAGGACCCCAGGGGTCTCACAGGCACCCGGCTGTTGGCCGCCCCGCCCCGAACCGCCGGCGGCCCGGAGCGCAGGCGCCCCAGGGCCCCGCCCCCTCACAGAAGCTCATCTCCCATTGGCCCAGAGGCCGGGGGCGGGGCGCCCCGGCCTCCGAAGCAGGGGTGGTCATGTGACTCTAGGGGGCGGGGCTACGCCGGCTGCTTCCGAGCCTGCTGGAAAAGGCTCGCGGATCCGGCCTTGTCGGCCCTTAAAGCGCTCCTTGGGCGGCCTGGCCTCGGCTCCCCTCCCGAGCCGCGCAAAGGAAGCTGCTTCTGGCTCTCGTCGGCTCCCCAGGTTTGCTTTCTTTCTCTTTCCGAAGGTGGGCCCTGAGGTCCGCCGTCTCGAAGCCTGCGGCTGCCGGGAAACCCAAACCCGAGTGTCCGAAGACTAACCGGAAGTGCGGTCCTAGACGGAGGGGCGGTGCCTGCGGCCGCCGGGGTAAGCCGGGCCGGTGGGGCCTGGGAGGGGCGCGGCCGCGGGGCCCAGGGGCGGAGGCGGAGGCGGGGGGGGGGCGCGGCCGGACCAGAGACCGACCACCCCACGCCCTCCACGGTCCCTGGGCCCCTGCAGCCGGCTGCGGAGCGGGGTCCGTAACCCCTCCCCCGCCTCGCCCCCGCCCAGACAGCGGACTGAAAGACGGTCAATGAAAAGTTGAAAGAAGAGCAGCTCAGTCCGGTCCTTCCTGGAGAGGATAACAATAAACATTACCGGGCACTTTTCTGAGCGCTCTGTATCTCTCCTGTTGGGGAAAAACCCAAGGACATTGAATGAAGCCCCCCCCCCCGTCTTTTAAGGCGGAGATTAGTTATGTTGTACTCAGATCTATATGCAGAAGAATACCGTTTTTTAACTATTCATAACTATGTTTGGAGAAGTGTATTGTATACACTTAATGGTGTGTCTTGGGATGTATTGTGGTCGAATAATGAATGGGTCCTTGACCTTAGAAGTGGAGATAATGCAAAGAAAAAATGAGCAAAAAAATATTTTAGACAAGTAAAACAAGACTCAGAGTTTTCCTAAGAAAGTTAGTCATTATCCAGAAGGATTCTTGATGTTTTGTCTAGGGCTGCTTGGGAAGGAAGTGATGGCTACCAGTGGCAGCTATTTCTTGCAGGAGAAACGGAATGTAAGCAATTGTGGGAAGAGTTAGATGTGATTGAAGGATGTTGACCAGACTGGGGCGTAAATGGGACCAATATTTAGACGTCCAGCTCCAGAAAAATATATAAATTTCACCAAAAAATTATAAATTTCTACATTATTGGTTTTTTCTCTAGGAGAGAAAATTGAGTATTGTGAGTACTTACGGACTAGAGACTGTTTGAAGCCAAAAGGAAGGCCATCTTCAATCTTTGTTAATGGTAAGTGGCATACCAGACTACATGTTTCTCTATAAATATGGATTTGGGAACAGGAGGTGGGGGAGGACAAGAATGATTGGAAGAAGATAACAGGAAAAAGAGATTGATACTTTCTTAGGTCCTGAGATAGTGTTAAAACTGGATCCTATTCTGCCAATTTAAGTGTATTTTCTACTTCTTTCCCACATATGTATTCGCAGTAGGCTTGTAGCAATTGCTTCTTGATTGATTTCCAGCCCAAAAAAGGCAGTATGCCCAATGCTTAGGCAGCCTCCTTAGTTAGAAGATTGAAATTTCAATCATTACCATGCTACCTAATAGCCATGAGTTCTTGAGTAATTATTTAATTGCCCTACGCATAAGGTTTTCTGTTAAGTGCAAATATTGGTATTAATACCTATTTTACCAAGCTCTTGGGAAGATTAAATGAGATAATCCATGCAGTCAATGAAAGATAAATGATAAATGTATCGCCTTGGGCCTGATACAATAAGCATTATCTGTTTTTTAGATTAATGCCTTATCGACTTTGCTTGTCCCATATATCCTTCAACTGTAAGAATAACCTTGAGCTTTGAAGTTCAATACTCAGATTCCCTGTTTGGACTTCTATTGCATGCCTGCTTATTGTGCACACTCTGACTCTAGCCATGGAAGAGAGAACCAGTCTCCCCCTAGGGTGAGGTAGGATAAACCTCTTGGAGGAGGGCACCCTGAAGCTAGGACACACAGGATATGTTTGAGATTGCCAGATGGACCAGCCAGGACTGCCAGCCTGGCCCGTTGCATTGCTATGAGGGCCCTAAGAATTATGGTGGTCGGTCCTTTTTGTTGCTGTGGTATTTATTCATATTTTTCATTCATTCAACAAATGTGTTCTAGAGTATAGGGATAGTGCAGTGAATGAAATACTAAGTCCTAACCCTAATGAAAGTTGTAGTCTAGTAGGAGAGAGAAATAAATGAACAGATATAAAATATGTACCATAAAGTTGGAGAATGATAAGTGCTGTGAAGAGAAATAAAAGAGAATAAGAGGACATAGTTATTTTATATAAAGTAGTCAGGATGTGCCTCCTTTCGAGGAATTAATTTTCAGGCAGAGACTTGGATCAAAGAAAGAAGCAAGCTACCTGGGGGAAGAATGTCCCAGGCAGAGGGAACAAGTGCAGAAGTTCCAAGGTGGTTCGTGAGGGTAAAGATAGTTGGAGGTGCCACATTATGTAGAACAGTGAGAACTGGGTTTTATTCTGAGTGTGATAGGAAATGATAATATCTTGAGCTAGGGAAGTGTCATGGTCTACTTTAAGTTTTGACAAACCAGAGTGTTTTATTTTCTAGGTGCTGGCTTCTAAAAGACTTAGGAATAAGAAAATGATTTCCTAATTTTTTAATTTTTTTCTTTTTGGTGTCCCACAGTTTATTGGCTACTTAGGATAAATACAATATCCTGGGCTGATAACTTTAGGCAAGACTCTGATTTCATTTACCAGGCTATTGCCAAACTCAGAATCCTTTATTTCCATTCTGCTGTACTTTTGACCTGAGCAATAATACACATTTTAAAAGACAAAGCTTCCACAAAGTCTCTACTGTCTTCTACTAGCTATTTGTCCATATGCCTGCATATCTTTACTTGGTTTTGATTCTGAATTTTTCTTTTTTCTCCTAATATTTATCCATTACTGTTTTTCTAGCTTTTGCAGAATCTCCATATTCATTGTTAACTGGCTGAGTTATTTTATTGCTTATGATTTAGTTAATTTTTAGTGGATTCTGAACAAAGCTTTACACGAGGCAGATGCAGAGGATGGACTGGATAAAGAGGGTTTTTGTGTGTGTGAAGATGAAATTAAGAAAATAATAGAACCTGTCATTTATTGAGTATCTGTAGAGACATAGGTACTGAGCTGAGTCCTTTCGTGGTGATGTCTGAGTTCTCATGGCAGCTTCTTGAGGCATGTAATGGGATCTTTCCTATTTTATCAAAGGGGAAATTGAAGCTGAAGGAAGTTAAGTAATTTACCCAAGTTCTTGCAGCTACAGAGAAGCATAGTGGGAATTTGAACCAAAATCTGATTCCAGAACTTGAACATTCAGTTTTAACTAGTACAATATATCAACTCTCAGCTCTCATGTTCTTTTAAACAGACTAAAATACCTTCTGATTTTGAAATAATTTCAGACGTAAGAAAAAGTTGCAGAGTAGTACAAAGAATGCTTACCTTTTGTCCATGGTCCTGAATGTTAACATTTTACTGTATTCACTTTATGATTCTCTGTGTCTCTATATACACATACATATTCATATATATGTTTTCCCTGAACCCTCTAAGACTAGGTTATAGGCATAATGATTCTCCTCAAACTATGAGAGAATTAAGCCCTAAAGTCTTATGACATGCTAAGCACTAAAGTCTTAAGAGAATTAAGCCCTAAAAGTATGTAATGAATTAACTTCTCTCCTATGCATGTCCAGTGCTCCTAGTTACATGCCATTCTTGGGAGAATTAAAAAAATACTCAAATTGTTTCCTATAGAGCTTCATTCTTTCCTAGAACCCCAGTTGAGAATGCCTGTCCTAAATAGACGCAGCAGTTTATTTCCTGAAAACAAGGCTGTTCTCCTTACCATTACAGCTATCAAAGCTAGGAAATTAAAACTCATATAACACTATTATCTTATTCAAGTTGAGTCAATTGTTCCACTAGTGTCCTTTTCAGGAAAGGGAAGAAACCAGTTTTTGTTGCCCAAGATCAGTCCATCATTCCCCATTTCATTTAATTGTCATGTCTTCTTTATCATGGAATATATGTCCTCAGACCTTGACTTTTTTTTTTTTTAAGATCTTATTTATTTATTTATTTGAGAGGAAGACAGAGGGAGAGAGAGAGAGCACAAGCAGGGAAAGCGGGAGAGGGAGAAACGGACTCTCCACTGAGCAGGATGCCCCATGCCCAGCGTTCTATCCCAGGACCCTGAGATTGTGACTTGAGCTGAAGGCAGCTGCTTAACTGACTGAACCACTCAAGTGCCCCATTGGCTTTTGTTTTAAGGGGTTAGGTCATGTGTTTAGTAGAATTTCCCTCAATTTGGTTTGTCTGATGTTTCCGCATATTTAGGTTATACATTTTTGGCAAGATAGCACAGAGGTGATGTCTTGTTCTGTTCTTTACCTTCTGTTGGGTAACTTGGACATCGTGTTACTGGTAATAGTAACTTTAATCATTTGGTTAAGGTGGTATCTTCCAGGTTTCTGTAGGTTTCGGTACTGTGAAGTACTCTTGTCTCGTAATTATTAAATATCTAGTACTTTCAGATTGTATAAATATCCTGATCTCATAAACTTTTCACCCACTAGATTTCTACCTGAAACAATTAAATACTCTTCTTTTGATTGGACATGGTGGTTTTTATTTTTATTTATTTTTATTTATTTATTTTTTGACATGGTGGTTTTTAAAATTCCATCATTTCTTCTACATTTACTTATTGACTTTTGTAAAATAAGAAAAACTCCCTTCTCCATTTTTATTCACTTTTTTTGAATCTGTATGGATTCTTATTGTGTTATTAACTTATTACAGTCAGGGGATCCCTGGGTAGCTCAGCGGTTTGACGCCTGCCTTTGGCCCAGGGCGTGATCCTGGAGTCCCCAGATTGAATCCTGCATTGGGCTCCCGGCATGGAGCCTGCTTCTCCCTCCTCCTGTGTCTCTGCCTCTCTCTATGTCTATCATAAAATAAATAAATAAATCTTGGAAAAAAAAACTTATTACAGTCAATATTTATTTTGATGTTCTGTTTGTTCCAGATTCGTACAGTAGCAGCCCCTTCGGCCTGGCTCCTGGGTCCTTTTGGCATATTGTCACCTCTATTTGAGCACTTCTTACCTGGCACAATAAGATGTTCTGGTTCATCTTATACTTTCTAAGCCCCGGAATCAGCCATTACTCCAGGAGCCCTGATAGCATTAAGTGGAGAATGTGTTTAGAAACCAAGATCTGAGTGTTTAGTATGCACATTATTACTAGGATTTCATTCTTTATATAACCTTTCAGCAGACGTCATTAGAAAAATAAACACATACTTTGACACATACACACCTGTTTTTTTCATATATACTATAAAACCTTGGCCTCATACTGATACTTCTAATTCCATTTAATCACTACAGAGTTCATTCTTGCCTTTGCCTTTTCTATATTTATAATTCCCTTCTCTGAAAGAGGAATGTGTGTGCCATTTTACCCAAAGTATATACTTGTTCAGTTCTAGGGTATACACTAAGTAATATATCTATACCACAGGAGAGAAAAAAGCCCCACTAATGAGATTTTAGTAATTGTTTATAGTTCTTTTATGTTTAGCTTGAGTTTATATAATCCTAAGACTGTATTAAAGTGCTATTTGAGTTGTTTTTTTCCCTTCTGGGTGTTTAATCATTTGAAAAGCAGACTCATTTGTTTTTGTTTGTATTACATTTTAACATTTTTCTCTTGTCTGTTTTATTGAATGTGTGAAATGTAACAGTTCTAAAAGTAAAAATGTTGAGTGTGTTACAAAAATGTATAGTCCTTGACCTATTTACACTGATGCCATTTGCTGGTCCTTTTAATCCCATTTCACCTACCTTGTGATGATAACCACATGCATTAGTTTCTTTAACCTTTTGCAAAGTTCTTTTTGGCCTGGGATCCGTGGGTGGCTCAGCGGTTTAGCGCCTGCCTTTGGCCCAGGGCGCGATCCCGGAGTCACGGGATTGAGTCCCACGTCGGGCTCCCGGCGTGGAGCCTGCTTCTCCCTCTGCCTGTGTCTCTGCCTCTCTCTCCTCTCTCTGTGACTATCATGAATAAATAAATAATCTTAAAAAAAAAGTTATTTTTGGCCAAATGAATGGATTTATAGTTGTTTATTATTTATTTATTTATTTATTTATTTATTTATTTATTTATTTATTTATTTATTTGAGAGAGCATCAGCAGGGGGAGGGCAGAAGGAG